TCGGATGCAAAATGAGGGTACCTCCCGTACAAAATCCAATCTGAAAGTTGTTTAAAAGTATGGTAATATGATTTTTCCATTAAAAAAGTATTCGGAATCAAGTTTGAAGCAATTCGAAGTGAAAATAAGATAGCTGCCGAACAAAATTGGTCGATTTTTGGACGAAAATCGATCATTTTGTACGGGAGGTACCCTTATTTTGCAGCCGATTGATTCCAAATCAACCACGATTTGAACCAGAATTGCAAAGTTTCATGACGATCGCATTAACGGCTGTTTTGTTGATTTATGGTTTAATTAACGAAAAAATTTACAAATTTGGCGAAAACACAGGTACTTTGTTCCGTTGGAAGACAGTGATAAGCTAGAAGCTTTGGCAAGAGAAATGGCGATCGAAATGGACTGCAACAATTATATACGCCACAAGAATACCACGATTCCGCCATCAAAACTACGTGCAAAAGGAATAAACTTCGCCAGGGTAAGTGCCACTATCGATAAGTGAACATTTTCACTTTCAGGAAATCTTCAAATGTTCCGCTAGGCGATTGTTGAACGCCTTGAGTCGTTGAGTCATCGTAGTTGCTACTGAAGAAGTTTGCAAACAGGTTGACCTGTTCTGTTTCGTTTGCTGTGCGCACATCACCAAATTACATGACTTTTGGTTTGTTTTCGGTAAAAGCCGACAGTCGTAGCGTTTCCATGCCTATTTTTTTAGTGTTATTAAGAATTTGTTTTTCTTGGATATTTTTGTATCGACTTGACGATGTATGCATAATCAAAATCTTGTGCAGCAAGTTCTCAGTGATTGTCTTTCCATGGAATAGTTCGATGGTGCCTCCTTCATGAAATCGTTGTTATTATATGTTTTCTCCCTGAAGGTCGTCCAACGAGAAGGGCATTTTGTCATCACAGGCCACTGTTATCACGCCGGATTCAACGTTGGCCATAATGAAGCCGAAGCCATCAACTTTGCAGGAGGGCGGTGGTTGGAACTTGGCAAAAAGTTTGAATACTGTTCTTGCAAGTAAGGAACAAGTTTTTCCTTCTTTTGTTCATCAGATATTCACTAGTATTTTCATTGTTGCATTTGAAGATATAGCCAAAGAGAGGACTCTCCGGCCGAACCATTGGCGAAGATATTGAAGGAAGTCCAATCTAAACCGGTATTTAAAAAATGCAAAGGACAATTTTTTGTTGATTTTGATTAATTCCATTCTATGATTAAATTTATTTCAGTTCCAGTGCGATGAATGCCACTCTCGCTTTTCATTGAAATTCAACCTCGACATTCACCTCAAGTCAAAACACTCGGATGAAATACCGAACTACGTTTGCCCGGATGGAAAATGTGATGCAACGTGCACCACAAAGTTCAACCTCCTGCTACACGTGCAAAACGCACATCCGCGGAAGAAATTCACCTTGGAGATGGCGGGCAAACAAAATCGTCCGATTAAACGTAATTTCTTTCAAATGGTTCATACCTAATAAAATATTCAACATTGATTTCTTTTGTTAGGCTCAGAAGCACCAGTAAAACTAGTGAAACGAAAAGCCAACCGGACGACAGTGTATTGCCATCTATGCCCCACTGTCAACGGTTTCACCCAGTTATCTAACCTCAAGCGTCACTTGGCGAAACAGCACGATGGTGCGCAACTACCTGCCCGGCCAGCAACATCTGAGACCGCTGTTCCTTCTTCAGCGCCGAAAAGAAGACGAACTCGAGAAGGTGAAACGCCAGCTGGTATGTATGTGCCTCCTTAATGAGATGTCACCTACTAACATCGATTGTTCTTTTTTCCCATTTTTTTCGGTAGACTATCACGAAATTGGAGCCACCGTAGAGGTCAGCACACCTCCTGCCGAACAAATGCTCGAAATAGCAGCGAAAGAAGGTGAAACGCCAGCTGGTATGTATGTGCCTCCTTAATGAGATGTCACCTACTAACATCGATTGTTCTTTTTTCCCATTTTTTTCGGTAGAACAAGTTAATCCACCAAAATACAAAATACCGAAACTTTCGACTAGTGGCTCGCAATCGAAGCAAGCAGAAGAAAACCAACCAACAGCCAAATTTGCTGAACTAAAAATGGAGCAATTAGCTGCGTACGACATTCCGCTTAATATAGTGCTAGCAGAACAAGACAACGACCAGTTTGCGCTCGATGAACTGAAAGAAATGACGAACAAAGCCCGAGAAGATCAGGATTCGTATTTCAAGGCAGCAACAGCGATGCTCCACTTAGAAGAGACAGCAAACTCCGAGGGAGCACAAAGCTTTGATTTCACCACGTCAAATGAAAAAATCAAAATACTCTCACGTAAATCTTTTAAAATAAAAATCAAAATAGTGGTAAGCGTAACTTTGAAATTTTTTATGTATGTACTTGAAAATATTTTATCTATTGATTACATTTGAATTGCAGGATTTCCAAAGATATAAGAAAGGATTTTTGAACAAGATGTTCGAAGGATTTAATCTGGAGTATTCAGAACAACCAGAAAACATCATCATATCTGCTTGTATCTCCGAATGTATCGATGAACATATTTGTGCAAAAATAACCGACGGATTTCAGTTCTTTGCCCGCATTTTGGAAACAACCAAAGAGTTCGAAGTGAAATTTTATATAAATCGAATGCCGTTCCAAATCCAGCACAATGCGCTGAGTTATTTGAAAGAGTACGATTTGTTTAAAGACTTGATCAAAAATCCGCTGTACTTGGTAAGTTAAAATTTATTTTTATAAAGGAACAAAACTTTATCGAGTTACAAATTTTACTTTTTTCAAAATAGGTTGAAAACTGCAGTGAAAATACCAATGCTGCTGATTACGAGCACGATTTCGTGAGTGATTTCACGAAAAGCTTGAACAAAGAACAAAAAATAGCTGTCAAGCACATTGTGGGAAAAAAAAGTGGTGAACTTCCCTTCCTTCTTTTTGGACCCCCAGGTAAGTTTTATTTGAGACTATTCCATTCTCTGATCAGCACTTATTGATTGTTGTTTTTTGTTTCTATAATAGGGACTGGAAAAACCAGAACTTTAGCTGCGGCAATTTTGGAAATCGTGGGATCGACCGAAAATTATGTGCTTGTATGTTGTAATTCCAACGCAGCATGTGATGAAATCACGGAAAGACTCGTCGATCACTTGAAACAAGACGAAATATTCAGGATATTGGCCAAATCATACAACAAAGATTCCATCAGCTCAAAGATTCGACCGATTTGCAACCTGAGCAACGGACAAATCAAATTTCCGTCGTTTGAATATTTGTACAAATTTCGAGTTGTAATCTCAACTTTATTGACAGCTGGTTCTTTGGTTAGAGGTCGCGGAATCGATGAAAAATTCAACTCCAGCCACTTTTCGTATGTGTTCATTGATGAGGCTGCTTCGGTGCACGAGCCAGTTTCCCTAATTCCAATTGGTAAGTTGTCTTTGATACGTTCCAAAAAATATGTCTTTAAGGAGGCACCATTTTTTTGGCACATTTGCATAGTATATTTGACATTTTCCTCAATCAAGACACATTTATTGACTTTTTAATAGGTTTGTGTTCGGAAAAAGGTGAAGTCAAAAGCAGCATAATTCTGGCAGGAGATATAAAACAGTTGGATGCTGTTACGAAATCAAATCACGCTGCCGAATTTGGATTCAAGAAATCCTTCATGGAATATCTCATGGAGGAACCGTGCTATTGCGATAATAACGAAGGCCACTATAACCCCGATCTCATAGTACAACTAATCGAAAATTACAGAAGCCATACAGATATCTTACGAATACCAAACAAATTATTTTATGACGATAAACTCAAGTACAAAGCACCTGAAGGTTGGTAGCAGAAATAGTGTCTCTATTTAGGAATATGAAGTTTCTGAATTTAGCTTGCTTCTAACTTCTACATTCTTTTCTTTCTTTGCAGGTGTAACAAATTGGTTTATCGGTAACGATTTTCTACCGAATCCCAAGTTACCAATCATATTTGATAAAATCAAGGGTTCTTGCCAGCAGAATGGAACGAGTTACGTCAACGAGGATGAAGCGATAGCTGTAGTCGGCTATATCGAAAAATTGTGGAAGATGAAATTGAATCACGGCCACGAATTAACTCAAGAAGATATTGGAGTGGTAACTCCGTACAGCAAACAGGTACAGCTTATTCGCGATAAGTGCTCCGAAAAAAAGTTTGACAATGTTATGATCGGCACAGCAGAGGTTTTTCAAGGAAAAGAAAAACCAGTCATGATTGTTTCAACGGTTAGAACGAATGGGATCATAGGATTTGTGGATAATCCACGGGTGAGACCAAAATTAAATCTTAAAAATTTATCTTCAAATGTCTTTAATGTATGCCTTTTCATTGCAGCGATTGAATGTGATGGTCACCAGAGCCAAGTGCCTTCTCATCCTTATTGGCGATCCTGATACCTTATGTGAAGACGAACATAAGAACTGGGAGGTGCTGATTGATTTTTGCAAAAAAAACAATGCTATGCTCACCAGAGGAAGAAAATTACAGCCAAGAATCGAGTATTAAAATATCTATTCCTAACAGTATTAAAGAACCTATGGCCATTTTAGTCACACAAAAATCTCATGGAATAAAACTTGTTATTATTAATTATAAATTACTTAAGAAAAAAAACCAAAACAAATCAAAAAGAGAAACGGAACAACTACCTCAATTCACCTATATATTTTTTTCTTAATAAAAGCTTGAAATGAGAATGAACTCGAATTGATGATTTTTCATTTCATTGTGAAGTTTGCCCAAGATTAAAATTCCTCAGGAGAACATAGTAAAATGAAAAAAATCTTTGTTTTCGTTTTAAAATTTATTAATATGAAGTTCCAGTCAGATTCTGTTATGCAGTAAAAGTTAACAATTTTATATTAAAAGTGATTTTCGGACAATATTGTTGCATCCTTAAAGCCCGAATGTTAGCTGTCAATGATGAGGGGTGTGTAGACAAATTAATGTACTCAATCGGCGTGCTTACGTTTTCGGGATGTTTTTGAGCCAATCGCAAATGCGATTTCTGAAAATTACGGAAAATTAGAACATAAGGTAAAATTCAACATTTGAATTCAAAATAGGTAATTAAATATTTACCTTCTTCTGTCATTCTGGTGAGTTTAATTGTGAAACTGCGGCATGTTCCATTGGTCGTCTTACAGCCGGATGATTCTGGGTGTAGTTTTTGAATCGAAAGTTTATGGTTTGATTTGCAACTTTTTGCAATTTCAGTTAGCTTCTGCTTGAACGTGTTCTTAAACGTTATGATGTCTTTCAAACATTCTGAGATTTTATATTTATTCATATCGAATGCAAAAAACATCGCTACTTTCATATAGCTTTCCCGCATGTGATGCATATTTTTCGTTAGCTGTCCGATGTTGTCAAAGTTATGATGCGTGATAAAATCTGACATAATATCTATAAATGTAGTATCATGTACGGATGGAGATGCCTTGACCTTTTCTAATTCAGATCCGACAAAATGTAGTAATCCTTCTATTTTTTTTATTGTTTCTTCGATATTGCTAAATTTTGTATCAACAGCTTCATGCAGATGACACAACTCGTCAGCAAAGTAGAGCAAATCTGGGTATTTTTCTACAGCAGTTTCAACGATGAAGTCAAATAGCGTTCGTTTGTTGTCTGCACTTTTTGTGTCAATCAAAGTTGTCAATGCTGGAAGCTCAAAAGCAACAGCTCCACCTATTTTTGTACCAGCATTCATGATGTTGCCGATTGATAAAATTAAACGTAAGATTTTATGAAAACGACTGCATGAAAGAACTTCATCGCACGCAATCGTTGCAACTTCAATGTCTACTTCTACATTTTTTACCATATCATTGAACTCCATCAAGAATTTAATGCAATGGAGCCGTGGCACAATACGATAAATATCGCAAAGACTTGCGAGGAAGTCCTCTACGTCAATCAACGTAACACCATCGTTTCGCAATTTTCGAAGCTGATTTATTTGGTCCTCTCGTGGCAAGCATTTGATGAGTCCCATAATGAAATTGGCATTTAACATGGTGGTGTCACAACACAGAATGTACTGTCTAATCTGTTCATATGACGACTTTTTAAACGAGGAGCGAAGTAAAATCGACAAATTATATGCACTCCTCTCATCAATAATCTTTAAGCGGTGCTTAGAAACTAAACTCGATCCGATCTTTTTTTTGTTTGGTTTTGATGCGAACTTTTCAGCCAATGCAAGTAATATATCTTCTGAAAGTGGTTCAACACCAAGATGCTTTCTCCAAATACATTCTTTTGTCAACTGCATTGGCATGATGGGCTTCCAATTGAGTTTCACTAATTTTGGACCATTTGTCTCTTCTGAAGGTGCTGATGCTGGTGGTGGTGGTGGTGGTGGTGGTGGTGGTGGTGGTGGTGGTGGTGGTACAGTTGATGGTGGAGAGAGTTTCTTTGCTGGCAACAAACACGAAGGCTGAGTATCACTAACAGCAGAACATTTTGTTGCCTCCTTAAAGCCCGAATTGTTGACTGCCAATGATTGAATTATATTGATATCATATTCAATACGATATGTAAAAAAATGGACAAGATATTCTGTTATACATTTGAATTGAATTTTGTGATATGGAGTTTTTTTTTCATTCACTCACCATCTACTCTGCGACGCTTTCGACGAGAAATCGAATCTTTTTCACTTGACATTTTAATTTATTGTCTAAAATTTTTCTATGGATTTTTTCAGTTTTTCAAAATTGCTTTGTCTTAGCTCAATATATTTTATTTGAATTCTTATTCCATTTAGACATGCAGAATGTGAGATAGAACGTCGAGCCTCTTAACCGCTCTTAACACTTTGATACTCGCTAGCAAATGTGGAAAAACAAAGTAAGCCTTGGCCGATTTGAGTTTTTCGTATGACACTTGCCATCGTTAACCGTCGTTAACTAATACTTTGCAAATGCCGGTAAATACATTGTGTTTGTATTAGTATCTCTGGGCGTAGCAATGTGAATGCATGAATGTGTTACGCATGGAACAAAAATGTGCTACCGATGGCACAAATGTGTTTACTCGACAGAACGGATAACCAACTTCCAATCGCTTCCAATAGTTTTGAAGAAAACTGAATAATGTTTTTTAAAAATATTAAGCCTTTACCCAATGAAGTAAAATAAAAAAATTGAAATGCTAAACACAAATTTTATATTTTTAAATTCTTGACGATCGTTTATTATGTTTGCTATATTGTTGCTTTTTTAGCATTATAGATCATTTTGCTTTAAGGAGGCAGATTTGGAGTCTGCTTCTTTGCATTGGATTTTGCCTGAATTCGGTCTTGAAAATCCTTATAAATAATTTGCCATTGAGACGGCAGCTGTCTAGCAAGTGTGGAAAAACAAAGTTAGTATTAGTATCTCTGGGCGTAGCAATGTGAATGCATGAATGTGTTACGGCTGGAACAAAAATGTGCTACCGATGGCACAAATGTGTTTACTCGACAGAACGGATAACCAACTTCCAATCGCTTCCAATAGTTTTGAAGAAAACTGAATAAAGTTTTTTAAAAATATCGAGCCCTTACCCAATGAATTAAAATAAAAAATTAAAATGCTAAACACAAATTTTATGTTTTTAAATTCTTGAGGATTGTTTATTACGTTTGCTATATTGTTGCTTTTTTAGCATTATAGATCATTTTGCTTTAAGGAGGCAGATTTGGAGTCTGCTTCTTTGCATTGGATTTTGCCTGAATTCGGTCTTGAAAATCCTTATAAATAATTTGCCATTGAAACGGCAGCTGTCTAGCAAGTGTGGAAAAACAAAGTTAGTATTAGTATCTCTGGGCGTAGCAATGTGAATGCATGAATGTGTTACGGCTGGAACAAAAATGTGCTACCGATGGCACAAATGTGTTTACTCGACAGAACGGATAACCAACTTCCAATCGCTTCCAATAGTTTTGAAGAAAACTGAATAAAGTTTTTTAAAAATATCGAGCCCTTACCCAATGAATTAAAATAAAAAATTAAAATGCTAAACACAAATTTTATGTTTTTAAATTCTTGAGGATTGTTTATTACGTTTGCTATATTGTTGCTTTTTTAGCATTATAGTTATTGCTTTAAGGAGGCAGATTGGAGTCTACATTGAATTTTAACGCATTTTGCTTTAAGGAGGCAGATTTGGAGTCTACTTCTTTGCATTAGATTTTGCCTGAATTCGGTCTTGAAAATCCTTGTAAATATTTTGCCATTGAGACGGCGGCTGTTGTGGTTTTTGTGCCATCCCTTCAGTTGGTTTGAGACCACGATTCGGGCTACTGAATTTCAAATGAAATTCAGAGTGTAAATCGTCCAATGAATATTGCATTCCGTTGACACCGTTGGATTCTTCATCAGCAATTGTACGATCGGCAAACATGGATTTGGCACGTTGACGTCTGATATTTCTTCTATTCTTGAGTGGCACAAGGGCATGTTGTTCGCGGTAACTGGCAAGAGAAGATAGCGCTTCAGATGATTTTTCCAACACAGAAGATATAGTTGGGAAGCAGATTGCTTTTGAACGTATAGATCCATTGAGTGCTAGATGAAGTTTTTTCTTTGGATACGACAATTCGCGATCAAGACGCACGAAACAGTCACGAATACGGTATTTGTCAAAGAGTGCTTCGCGAAAAAACTTATTATCTGTAACAAAGAAAATTCATTATATTACAATGGTTGAAATTTGACGACTGGAAAAAATTTACGTACCAATGCTTAAACGATCCAATTTGATCTTGAATTCGCGAATTTTGTACTTCTTCAACACCCCGTTAATTTTCGCTTGTGATTTTTCTGACTTTGGTTTTTTGTTTTTTTTGTTTCCCATTTCTTGGTCGTTTCAAACGAACTCACAAATTCCAATTGAGGATAGTCGAAAAATATGATGAAATAAATAAAGTCGAGAAACAGAGACTTTATACGACTTTATATGATTTTATCTGGCACGAAACACTGTCTGTCTGTATGTACTGACTGCGACTGACTGTTGAAACGCTCGAATTGAACTGAACTCGACTGAACTGAACTGAAACAAAGCATGCCTTGATTTTTGTATTATGATGCAGAGCAAAATGCGCCAATACACTTGACATTATGTTTATAAACAAATTTCAGCGCGCTTCAACACATATATAAACGCTTCTTAATACTACTACTACTCCGACGAATTATGGAAATGTGCTGCAGGTTACACAAAAATGTGCGGTCGGTGGTCACGGCAATGTGTATTCTTATATTGATACACGCACACACATACAATATGACAATATATAGGCAAAGCGATGAATAGATGCATGTGACATCAAATCTGTTTCATCAGATCAGTGTATTAGGCGCGCTTAGTTCGATTTTTCAAACATTCTGTTCAATTTGACTTATATTAAATCTAGAGATAAAGAAAATGAGAAAGTGTTGTATACGAGATTGTTCAAGCTCTGAATTGAATAATGAGAGGAGTTTATTCGAGTAATTATTATTTTTTATAGAATTTACACTCTTTTTCTGTCAGTTATAAAATTTTCATCTATTTAGAATTAATGACGCAAGAAAAGAATGGCTGAAGATACTTAAAGAGCATCAACCGTTAGATGAGAGTCGAAAATTATACGTTTGTGATCTTCATTTCAACTCAAATGATATAAAAAGGAGCCAAACGAAGATTTTTTTAGTTAGAAGTGCAGTTCCAAATATATGGTACATACTATATTACCGTATATAACATCTTTTCACAAACAAATTGATATTTGAATTAGAGTTTTGTTTTTTGTCAATAATGCCTCCTTAAAGATCAGTTGTGGATCAATTGTTATTTCTTTGAAGATTTTTATAATAACAGAATTTATTTTTTTTCTCAAATATCAGCTCTCGAGACTCAAACGAAAGCGCAGACAATTCTACTGCAAGTATTTCTAAAAATGAAACGAGTAACTTGTTGGCTGATCTGAATCTGAATGATAACGAAGGAAATGATTTTGGAATGGAACAGAAAACTATATCATTACAAGAATACAAAACTTTGATGAATTTGATTCCAAAAGAACAAAAACTTGAAAATGACATCAAAAAATTAAAATGTATAATTGAATCGAAAGATTTACAGCTTAAAGAACAATCTAAGAAATTGGAACAGACCAAATTTATAGATGTATCGAATTTAACGAATGTAAGTCTTTCTTGGAAATTATTTTTACATAATAGCGTTGATGTTAACCATTAATATTTGTGTTTCGTTGTTTCAGGAACAGATAGAAGTGATTAATTGTTTGGTTCATGGGATTAAGAAATATGAAGCGTATCCAGAGAGTGTTAGAAAATTTAGTATGACGCAGCAGTATTATTCAATGGCAGCATATCTAGCATTGCGTCGTTTCTTCAATAATAATCTGCCAGCACGTCGAACCTTGCAAATGTGGTACGGGTCAGTGGATGGTTCACCAGGTGTCTGTGAAAGTGCTTTGGAGATTTTACGTGAGAAAGCAGAATCATATTTGGAAAATAATGGTTATCGTCTGCACCTTACCATGATTTGGGATGAAATGGCCATCAAAAAGGAACTTTGTTGGTGTGCCGAGACCCAATCATTTATCGGTTTCAGTACAATAATTAATTCATCAGGAAACAGCGTCAATGAAAATCCATCGCAAATGAAATTGGCCAACGAAGCTCTAGTTTTCATGGTCGTTGGCCCTGACTTTAAAATAGCAGTTGGTTATGAGCTACTCAATGGTTTAGAAAGCCTCGATAGAGCCGCATTGGTTTTGAATGTAATCAAACGTGTAGAAGAGACAGGAGTCATCATAGTTTCACTTACTGGCGATGCCTTAGCAGCAAACACCACCACCTATGAAGCGCTTGGTGTGGACTTTGATAACTTAAAAACATATTTCCATAGTCCAACCTATGCACAGCAAAAAATTTACATTATTTATGACCCTCCGCATATGTTAAAACTTGTTCGAAAACATTTCTGCTTACAAAACATTCATTATCAAAATCAATTGGT